CCTTCTCATAAACACATCAGCTAACAAGTGAAACATATCAGCCAACAAGTAAAACATATCAGCCTGCCACACGCATAATTTGCGTACGACTGTTCACACCCAATACCTTCTCTTAAGTTAATTAAACGAATGGATAGTATGAAATATGGTATTTCATTGTTTGCTTGGGAAATAAGTAGGATTAGTGAATTAGGGTAAGTTTAGTTTATAGGACATTCCAACAATAATAGGATTAGGAAAGTCAGATCTTTTAAGTGGGAAACAAAGATGTAAGAATATTTAGGTAGGTACTAAAATACATGATGGTAATGGTTTACCTTTTTTTTTTTTTTTTTTTTTTTTAGGGAAAATAAATTATTTTAATCTAAATGCAGGGCAAAAGAATTTTTACGAAAAATTAGATTTTCAATCTTATTCTTTTTTTTTAAAAAAAAAAACTATACTCTTCCGAGAGTTTCAACCCAAAATTTATTTTAATCAACCCTATCATTCCCAATTTTCAATACACATTGCAAAATCTTCAATTATTTCAAAAAAAAAAAAAAATCTAATGTTTTTACAACCACGAAGGTAATGAATTGAATTATGAAAAAATAACAATTTGTGAAATCAATCAAAAACTAAGCAACCAAAATGTTTAAGAGATGAAATCAATAATGTAGAAGTAGTTTGGAGAAGATTACAGTAGACATTTTGGAGAAGGGGAGGAGTGAAGAATGAATTAGTCAGATGGATTTATGTAATCAAAAAAATTAGGCATGGATTTAGAAGAGGCCACAATATATTTTTTTTTTTTTTTATCTTTTTCTTATTTATATATCAATAATATTTTCCGACATTTAGGCTATTTTGTATTGTATTTTATTACTTATGAAAATTTAAGGCTACGTTTAGGTAATTTACAAGAAAGCTTGGAGGCTAATTAGGAATATAGTTTTCTTAATTCAATAGAATACAAAGTTTAATCAATTTGTTTCCCTAGAATCCTAAGATTGGTCCGAAAATATTTATTTTTAGTTATAAATTCCAAAAATAATTAAAAGAACGAAATAAAATAAGATCCCTTTATTATATATATGTAGAGTTTATATCATTTAATTATATTTGATTTCATCATGTAAATAATACTCTCATAGATCGAGTTAACTATTATCTCCCTTATCTAAATTAGAGAATTATATTTCATTAAAAAAATTTAAAAAAAAATTATTGCATTGCGTTATCTTCCCTTACAATTTTTATAACATACTAGATAGGATGCCCCAGCGCAGAATTCAAATTTGTATTACCGACTTGAAGTTTACAGGTTTTTTTTTATCAAAACTTATAATGCATACATTTATCTTACATATTAGTATTTATTTTTTGCTAAACACCTTATTAGATACTTCGTATATATGAGTATATGTACATATCTCTTACAAAATTCCCTACACCCCCTCAAAACGACATTGTACACACCGCTACTTTTCGTATCAGGATAATATCTTTCACCCATATCTCATTTGGAGACTTTATTATTATTCATCATTTCATAATATACCAATCCAAGTTGATTATAGCAATGATTTGAGTTTCAATTTCATGCTAAAAAAATTATCGTACGGAGTATAAAAGAGATAGTGTGAAGAGATTTCCATGACATCAATTTTAATAAAGCATAGGGAGTTGAATGGGAGGGAGGGGAAAGGTAAAGAGCTGGCCCAAGTTGATCTCCTAGATAAACCTGGGTTGTTTATCTAGGGCTATAGTTGTCTTTTCGCATAGAAAGTAAGGGGTGTAAAGGTCAATTCATTAGTTTATAGAATTTTGCTTTCTCACGGTCGTTAAGTCCTGTAAAAAGAAAACTACTCTGGAGTTGAAGGAAGAATCGAATAAAGACAAAAGTACCTTAACTCTAGAAAAAGAAAAATCGTTTATTGCTGTGTGAAGGTACTTTTGACAAGCTTTTTCAGAAACAGTTGGACACCTCAGCTAGTAGTAATTGTTTATTGTTAAATTTCGTTTCCCACTGCTATTTTATTACAAGAATGCCACTCGATAAACATAAAGGAGATCAACTTGTATTTCCCCAAAGGTAAATGGGGAAATATAAAATGAAAAGGATGAAGAGAGAGAATTCGAATGGTGGCTCATTTTTTTTTTATTTTTTTTTTTTAATATAGTATGTGGGGTATGGATGGTCACTGTAGCAGGGTATATGGGTAGTGAACACTGAACAGTTAGTGAAAAGCTAAACGGTACCATTTTGCATGGGGGTGTAGGTAGAAGACTCTACAACGTGGTGTAGGGCTCAACGATACCATATCTCTTAGTCTATAGTAATAGGGCCTAAAATAAAGGGTCATGCAATAGGCTTACATTGAAAGCCCATAGTAAGATGCCCCAAAAATTATCATATTTTACAAATGGGCTTTAGGGTCAAGGATTTTAAGATGGCCATCTATCAATCATCATAAACTAAAATGGGTCATTTCATTATATAAGCAATATCACAATATTTGTACTTTGAAAAAATACGAGTACAAAAACTTGTTCTTTGCAACATAAAATTTAGCTCTAGATGACTAGTAGAGGTGGCCAGTGGGCCGGGTTGGACCCAGCCCACCCTAACTCGCACGGCTGGTGGGTCACGTGGGTCCGACCCGGTTTCAATCCGGCACAGCCCGGCACAGCTCGGATTTAATCCGGGTTGTGTCGTGGGTCCAAAATTTTCGACACAACCCATTTCAACCCAGCTCAGTTTAACCCGTTTGATTCGACCCAAATCGCACAACCCGTTTTGACTCATTTAATTCGACACACCTAGCCCGTGAACCCACCTAACCCGACCCACCTGGCACAACCCAGCCCGCACGGCCCACCCGCACGAATGACCCACCCAACCCGCACGAGCCAACCCACCTAACCCGCACGCATGACCCACCCAACCCGCACGCATGACCCACCCAACCCGCACGGTCGGCACAACCCGCACGGCCCGCACAACCCGCACGGCCCGCACAGCCCGCACAATTCGCACGACCCGCACGGCCCGCACGGCCTAACATCCATTTTAAAAAAAAAAACGGCTAGTTTTTTGTATCTAACGGCTAGTTTTTTGTATCTAACGGCTAGTTTTTTAAGTGTATGATCATCCATTCTATTTTTCCTATAAATACCAATTCCATTTCACTCAAATTTCCACACAAATTCAAGCTTTCTTTCTCTCTTACTTAAAAATTCTTATTGTTCTCAAATTCTCAAGTGTTATATAGAGTTATATTTTTGTTAAAAAAATCTCCTTAATATTATTATTAGTATTCTTAAGATTCTAAAAAAAAAAAACTTCTTCTCCATATTATAATTAGTAATCATACAAAAAAAAATGAGCTCAAGAGGAGGAATGGGAAGGAGTCAAAGTGGTGGTCGAAGTGGTAGCCAAAGGAGTGGTGGTGCAAATTTTTCGTATGAAATTAATACGGAAAATTTAAACCAATTTGTCAATGAATATGGAGATTATGGTTTAGGAGATAGGCAAAATATTCAAACGTCTCCACCACAACATTTCTCCCACGAGTCCCACCAATCATCAAGTTCAACTATGCCACCTCCATCGCAACCAACATCTCAACCTTCATCTCAAGGTAATTTCTAATTAAATTTTTATTGTTATGAATATTTAAAAAAAAACTATTATTAATGATTATAAAGTTAGTTTAGTTTCCAATTTTCTATGATTTACAATTAGTTAATTACCATGAAAAATGCGTTTAAATAAGTATAATTAAAATATTTAAAATTTAAAAGCTTATTTTCATGAATAGCATTTAAAAATTAATTTTAATAATTTGATTTATGAAAGGTGGTGGCGGTGAAAGTAGAGGTCGAGCACATTTTTCTTGGGTGTGGAAACATTTTGAACGAGTTGAGGTCACACCCCCGGGATGGCAACCTGGTCAACCAAAGAGGTTCACGTGTACATGCCTAGTTTGCAAGGCGCTAGGTGCAAATGTCAAGTCATATAATTGGAAAACGGGAGATGGAACCGGAACCTTGAGTCGGCATTTGCAAAATAAACACGACTTGTTCGAAAATGGCCCCCGTCCTTCGGGGGGTGGCGTCCAAACACAATTGGGTGGATACATGAACCAACCCGGCGGAGGTACACCTTTCATTTATAATAAAGATAGAATGATTGATGAAATGAGTACTTTAGTTATTGCTAATGAATACCCTTTTAGTTACGGTGAAAATGCAAACGTTGAGCATTTTAATAAAGTTGCATTACAACCTGCATTTACAATTTAATTGCAAAATTAAATTTTAGTTTTCTAAAGATAGGTCCAAGCCCCCCCCCCCCCCAAATTTCAAAAGAAGTACAATATAAGAACTACGCTGGCTTTGATTCCTTATTTTATAATATAAGGATACGTAGGCATCTTAATTAAGAGCAAGCCATCAAATTGTTAATTTTGTAAAAATTAAAACACCACACAACCCACCCGACCCTAACCCACGAACCCACCCGACCCTAACCCACAAACCCACCCGACCCTAACCCACCTAACCCACAAACCCACCCGACCCTAACCCACTAACCCACCCGACCCTAACCCACCTAACCCACAAACCCACCCGACCCTAACCCACTAACCCACCCTTCGACCCACCCTAACTCACTAACCCACCTTGACCCGTCTAACCCACGAACCTAGCTCGACCCACCCATGACCCGTCTAACCCACAAACCCAGCTCGACCCACCCACGATCCGTCTAACCCACAAACCCAGCTCGACCCACCCACGACTCGTCTAACCCACGAACCTAACCCTGGTGTGTCCAACTTCTCCGACCCAACCCACGACCCGGCCCACCCTACCCTACGTGTGTCGTGCCGTGTGTCATGAAACCCCAACCCGCGACCCACCTAACCCTAACCCAGCTCGCACGACTCGCACGGTGGACACCTCTAATGACTAGATATGTACTTTTTTTCGATAATATGTTTTTGGTTATTTCATATGCTAGGTGAAATGGGCTCTAATCTAAACATCAATGAAAAAGAATATCTTTACGCACAAGAAATAATAAAACACATCACAATTTCGTTTACAAAAATTGTTTCTTTTCAATTGAACAAAATCCCTATACAGTGAACACAAATACATTGACAGTACCTTTAACCCTTCTCAACTAGTCATCTTCGCCTGCGACACGAGATAGAAACTCTCTGATAGTAAAACTTAATTAGACCAAAAATTTTCACATGATTATTCACTCATGTTATTGTTGTAATCCCTAATTTTCAAATAATGTAATTCAATCTTTCAACCTACCCTCATTTACATGTGTAAGTAGTGGCTGTCAATATTTGGCAATTCCGGAATTCTGTGCCTTGCCTAAAAGAGATTCAATATCAGCAGTTATCAACCCCAGATTTTTGGCCGCGGCAAAACCAGCATACAAGCCATCAACGGCTGCACTAACAATTCCTCCAGCAAATCCTGCTCCTTCTCCCACTGGATATAGTCCATTTAAGTTTGTGCTCTCGAATGTGGTGCTATTTCGTGGAATTTGAACTGGAGAGCTCGTTCTCGTCTAAACAAAATCAATAGAGCGCAAATCAGAAACTAGTAGGATCATTTCTAATTAAAAAAAAAATAAATGTTGCAAATTGAGTAACATTATAATTTGAACAAAATACAGATACTTGGGCACATCGATCAGCGAGAATACCTCTACTCCATGTAAAAGAGCCTCTTTTGAGATAAATCCTGGGAGCTGAAATACAGAATTTAGTGAGACTCAGAACAAAATCTGCATTTAACTGAAAAACAAAACATCATCATAATTGTAAGTCTGATAATGCAAACCTCCTTTTCAAACATCAAGATAGAATCTTGCAGAGCCTTAGTTAGGTGAGCAGGAAATAACTCGTGAAGATTTGAAGCCTTGACTCCTAAGCGATAGCTTGATTGCGGCAAACACATACCTGAGGATAAATGGAGAATTATGATGAGCTGCAAAGATAACACGGGAACGATAGTTGCGATAGATTCACTGATTTTTCTACCTGATGTTCGCTCTTCAAGAAAGTCAGTGACTGTCTGCACAGGAACCACAAAATTACCACCTCCCATCACAGCTGCTCTTTGTTCAAGTTCCCTCTATATTACGAAAAACTCGGCATTAAACATATGTAGAAGAAGTCAAATACTCACCACCTGGCATGACTTCAATAAAATGTAGGACTCCACACAGTATATCAATAGAAGCATAGTCCGCAATTCTCATACGAGGTAATAATGTTATCACTGTATCCAACTTAGTTGAAGTTGCCAAATCCAAAAGTGAGAAAATTTCATGGCAGTTCTTCACTTGAATTGAACTCGAGTAGTCCTTATCTGAACTTCTAGACCCTAATTAGTAAATATTATTAATTGTTGATGGAGCTTGAATAGCTACTAAGCCTGCTATCAAGCATAATTTTTGTAACATTATCTGAAATTAATTTTTGTGAGGTGAAAAGAATCGAGCCTAAAACTAAATATTTAAACCATCCAGCTTCAACACGGATCATTTGTTCTCAAAGTATGTGTGAAAAGGGCATCACCGAAAAGAAAAAAAGAATAAGGCATAACTTAAAAAATTGATAGATGTGCATTGGTCCAAATGACGAACTAACTCATACGATTAACAGTAGCTTACCTGGAAGTCAACACCTGCAAGGGCCCCATGAAAATTTAAGCTCTCAAAATCTTTTGATGAGACTGTAACAACAAGTGCTGAGTTAGCCCATTTTGATGAACGCCGAGAAAATGACATTCCATTAATACAGAGCTCTGATGGATTTGTACTGGTGAGAACAACCTGAATGTCATGCTAGAAAATGTTAACAATGGGAACTCATAAGAAAATTTCAGGAAACTAATCACCAAGATAAAATATGTCATATAAAAATGAAACAGAAAATCTTTTACCCCTTCATTCTTAAGAAAAGAATTGCCTTTTACCCTTTTTTTTTTTTTTTTTTTTTTTTTTATCAAAGATAGCACAACCTGTTATGCAATTAAGATAGATAAGGTTCTACAAATCTAAGCTGTGGCTAATACTTAGTTCCCAATTGCATTGAAAATTTAATAACCATCTTAGAAGATTTCAAATATTTAACCCATCTGTTTACCATTTTTATAGCTAAGTCGAGTCAATGTAAACATATAATAAGCTACAAAAACATATCCTACTAATATAATAGAAAAAATAAGCGCGTACGAAGTACCTGTCCTCCTGGACACATGCAAAAAGAGTAACAACCACGGCTTGCAGACGAATAAGAAGACTCTGCACCCTCTCCACTGAGATAGTTTGCAATCTTATAATCTGCAACTGGTACTTTTCCACGTCCACCTTGAACCTCAGCTGCCAATGCAGCATACTGAACATTCATAGAAAAAAATTCATCAACATGGCTCAAATATTACCATTTTGGCTTGAATGCAAGTGTACCCTTCTTTGTTCAATATATACGAACGAAACCAACCAGTTATTTGAAAGTAGATATTTATGCACAAAACACAACTATGCAATGCAGTCATACAGTGTCTTGCACATCAAAACACTACTCATGCTAATAAGCCACAAAGCCCACAATAAACAAGAATCATAGAAGAAATGTAGAATGAACAAATTTTTATTCATGTCTAATAATGACAAATAAACAATGAAAATATGCTTTTTTTACAATGAAAAAAAATAAAACAGCAGCAGCGACGCCAGAAATAAGGCACTCAAAATTTTAACCAAAATATGTGAATTATCAAAGGATTTAATACAAGTAATACATGTAGTTATAGGGAAGCAAGTACTAACTGTCTACTTTGATAACTGAATGATACTTTATTATTTTCTAGTGATTACTGATACAAGGGCCTAAAAACTACAGCAATTTTACCTGTACCTAAAATCACACTAAGATCTTGCATAGAGAGAATGCAATTTACAGTTCAAAAGAGGAAACATTTGAAAGATGAATTTCATAAAATTTAACCAATCCCGAGAAAAACAAAATGCACATGTAAATAACTAAATACCTTAGCCACTGTCAGGAAATTTTGCTATTCGAGCAAGTTTATGTTAAACTTAAGATGAAATACAACTAAAGTTACTTTCTCATAAGAGAAAAGTCATTAATATTGCAGCTGAAAATCAATCATCATCAATTCGTAACTAAACAAAAGATCATAAATGTATTAGATAGTGCATTAAATTTAACAAATAAATCAATGACGAATGAATTTACAGCCAACAGAGGACACAAAGGAACTACCTGTATGCTGTTTATCAGTTGCTGGGGATGCTCAACCCGCAGGCCAATCTAGAAGAGGACACCAATAAATTAGTTCAAGGCAATAACTACTTCCAGGATTTGACAAACTGAATGCCAACATGAGGATATCTACAAATGCACAATCTAGCAAAACATGAGCAAAACTTATGAAAGATCAAAAAGCCACATTTATAGCGCTTTCAGCTGACATACCAGCAGATCCAACTTCTCCCATCCCATGGAAAAGAGGGGAACAAAGGGCTCAACAAGGAAAAATGATATCTCCGTTTCATTTAAATGCAACACTAGAGTGTTCACAAAGTTTAAGAAAATTTATAGGGTGGGGCCCAAAAGAGGATTTTTTATAATATAAAGTATTGTTGGTAGGAGAGAGAAATAATAAAAAAGTAGTATAAGTGGGGTTGGTAGGAAAGAGAAATAATAAAATATATGTGTAAATGGGGTTAGTGGGAGAGAGAAATTATAAATAAATGGTGGGTCCTTGCCAAAAATAGTAGTGTTGCAATTATTATGAAACGCTGAAAATGGAAAGTGTTGCATTTAATATGAAACGGAGGGAGTAGAATATGAAGGCATGGCTTTCCCCATGGGCCAAAAATAGCGGAGTTGAATATTCTATCATGTAAGAATGTAACTCTCAATCAGATTATTTTTTTTTTTTATTTATTTATTTTTTTTTTTTACCACCATGGATTCTTATGTTATAAAGAATATCGCCTTATTAAAATGCAACATGACATCCCCCATAACTCAGGATGTCCATGGTACATAGGTACATACCCCATTCATTTTCTTGCTCAATTGCTAATTTGTAGCTTAACCAAATACCAAAAAAATTAAATAAATAAATAAAAAAATATAATAAAAAAAAAAAAAAAACCAGAAGCAGCAAAAAAAAAGCCTAGGGGTTGTACAGTAGAAGTTTCCCACTACAGTGGCAAGTGAATAGGCATATACAGTAAACAGCTCTTGAAGAAGGTCTAAGCTAATTAGTAATTACAACTATGAATGGAATTTGAGGTTCTCTTGGTAGGAATTCAGGGGTTCAGAATCTGAAAACAATGGTGGTCAGCACACCTATGTTCATAGATATAACTTCACTCGTCCATTAATCGTATTTTACATAAAAAAAAAAAAGAAGAGTTTTTTTGTATGTATTAATAATGCATGTGCACCATTACATGGCTCTAGTTGACCCAGGAGCATAATAGTTCCACGTTGTCATAATTGCACATCTGTTGAAACTAGTACTCAACTCTGTAATCACTGCTCACTAGTATGCATGGTAAGACCCCCCCTCCCCCTCCAAATATATCAAAATTCTCCTCTATCCTCTCCCCCACACTCCCCCCCCCCCCACCCCCCAAAAAAAAAAAAAAAAAAAAAAAAAAAAAAAAAAACCAAAATCCAATAACTATCATACTTCCTCACAAAGGGATAAATCCTCTACAGAATTGTTAGTCATCCACTCATCCCCCCCTCCCCAAACTCTAATTTATACTCCCCTCAAGGATCCTAATCAAGTCCGAAGATAGCAATTCATATCAACTTGCTAATGCAATGAAAGAAAGACAGGTTAGAGGCTGTTTTGGCAAACTGACAATGGCTTATTCTTACAGCAAAGTCCTTTGGGACCAAGCCCACATTGTGTGATAAGAGCATCTGGTATACATCTCTTGCAGAGTGCCCAACGGCCAGAACAACTGCATCATAACTCAGTTCCTGACTATGGATTGGTGGGTTTTTTGTTACATCTGAAACTTTGACTCCTTTAATAGTAGCACCCTCCACAAGCAGATCATCAACCCTAGTTCCAAATTTGATTGTGACCTAATGATATCAAAGAATAAGAAAAATTAGACAAACTGAGATAAAGAGATCAGTAGCACTAAAGGGGGGTGGGGGAACAACATTGAGTGATATATTTAATTGATCCAAAAAGATCACGATTGGTTAGGTGACTTACACCCAGGGCCTGCAAATGTTGCCTGAAACTACGAAGCAGTGGAACTAGCCTATCTGTCCCTAAGTGAGGCTTCCCGTCAACCAAAATACTCCTTGGAGCACCAAAGTGAACTAGTGTCCTCAAGACCTGAGATAGAAACAAGACAATTTGCTCAGCTACTCTTAAATAGATAGTTCAATCCAGCCCACCCATAGCATGCAAAACACAACACAATCCTTTATTCCCTATGTTACAAATTAGTCAAATTTTACGGTTTTTTTATAACAATATGATATAGGGACTTTGACTGTAGACATGTTGATTTAGTTTTAAGATAGTAATAGCTGTAAGTGAAATTGTACATTAAAAACACAAAGTTATAATGAATAATTAGGGCATGAAAGGGAATACATTGAAAGTATGCTTACAGCCTTACAGGATATTCTAGGGGAAACAAAAGGAGCAACAAGAATAAGATATACTTGGGAGGAAAAAAAATAAGCACAAGGAAATCAATCAAGCATATCTCCCTCTTTCCTCTCATCCAATCAATAGATGATCAGCCTCTAAATTATGATTGCTGATGGAAGTGTTGTTACTTGATCATAGGTTTCTGTAATAAACCAACCTTGGGAGAGAATGTAGGCAGTGCATAGTATATCTGTTAGGATTTGCTAGGAGGGGAAGGAAGGGGATAGTTTGTTCTAAAATACAGAATTAGGGAGAAGGAAAACATGGAAAAAAAAATTGTGTGAAGGTTTTAGTCATCTCTAGGGAGTGATCAAGCCACTGGAATGCTTGAAATCTATTGTCTATTCTCTGTAATAGTATTAATGTCAATCAAAAACTCTTTCTTAATTCTTTGTTTTCAGCCATAGTTATGTTAATTCATAACAGTTTCTTCACTAATCATGAAGCTTAATACTAATATGGCACCAGTAGAAAGTTAATATGTGTTCTGTATTAATAAATACAACAAAAACTCAAATTCCGGAAAAAGAAATGACCACACAACAAAGAAAACTTTTGAAATTTCTAATCCATCGTCAAAAACATCTAAATTGAAATTTCCAATGTTTCACTTAAATCTCAATATATGGAGATTTTGTGCATTCACTTTTGGTTTCATTAATTATCAGCTTCACAGAGGATGCTGATGGTAATATGAGGTAGTACCATACACTCTACAAGGTAAAGGAGAAGACTGAACTATAGGAGAAAGAAAGGCAGAGTTGGCTTCCACCCCACATCATTATCTACAATTGACCAAATCCATTACATATCTATTAGGCCCACATTTCAGCCTTGCATTTCCTAACCAGCATTCTTTTCCATCCATACACTTGATTGGAGGGGCAAAGCATGTTCATGCATAGATTGCTTACAATAAAAAGCATCCTCATCCATAAAGGGCATTTACTCACTAAGTACTAGATAATTTGACGTTTAAAGCAATGAGAAAAGATAGAAGAATTCAACTTGTCAATGTTAATAAATGCCAATTGAGACGATTACTTTCATTATATGCCAAAGCCAAGCTTCGGCTAAGAATGCCAGGCTGCAGTAGGCCAATGCTTGTTATACAATAAGCCAGCTGTCACAAACTCTTAAAAGGTGGGATAGCATACATATGCTTCAACAGGATAGATTTTCTCACCGCTTGAACACTGTCACTGTTCTTCCCAATTCTTGTTACAAGCTTCCCGTCACTCCATGTACCTGCACCACCCTGCCACACTTAAGTACTTAAAATGGCTCAAATTCAAAACAATGCAGAATCACAAGGTCATTTAATGAAACAAAATAAGATCACAAGAACTAAAATTTGTAGCACTAAGTTAGTGGTCCAGGATTCTTCTTAAGCACAGACAATGAACTAAGCAAGAATTGGATCTAGAAGAATTCACGTATCCATAAAAATTTAACTACAATAGAAATAAAATCTAAAAATGTTCCTCATAACATCTCTACTAAGTAACAAACATAATTTACGACTTGCAGATATACAAGTCAAGCTAGAAACAGTAGCAAGTGGCAATCGAGCGGGTGATATGTGGTGTGAATGCAAGCTATGGTGTTTGGACTCGGGTATCCATTTCCGATACAGGTACATGTCCAAGTGTCCAACTAGGCTATTAGGTGAAAAATATTCACGACTTTGGTCTAAAATGAAGGGTCTATGTGTCCTATGTTAGAGTATGAGGATTCGACGTGGGTATTTGGGGTATAGTGAAGAGTTCAAGTATAATAGGATGTGAGAAGTTGAGAACACTCACATTAATAATAAATATGGGTTATTCTAATAATTTGTTTATTGTTACTAGGTCAATATTTTTATTAGCATTAGGGAATATGATGGTCTTATTAACCCTTAGATAAGTCATTGTATTACTTGTTAGTTTTGGAGATTTTATATTCTAAAAAATTTCCTAGTGAAATCCAAACATGTAGTCTTATTTCCGGAGTGATTAAGATTATTAATTGAATAATTATCTAATGAGTGATTTAGGAGGTTCAAAGTACAATTTTTTCTTTCAAAATTGATTGAAAATATTGCCTGCTGGTTAATTTCATTACTGGATACTTTTCATTGGTTCATCTAGATCCACATAGATATGTGTGTGCATCAAGTGATTTTATTCTTATTTTTACCCCACTTATGACTGTAATCATAGCCTGTCTATTTGTCTTTCGTGTTAATTTACTCCTTGGACTTGATATCACCTTTTTCTCTCACTTGTGTTTTATTCAATGGTAGGTTCTTTGAGGGCATCTGGTTCCAGAATATTCACATTTTGCTCACAAAAAAGCTCATGTGGACAGTAGATGAGATGGGAGACAAGGCCTGCGAACATGAAGCATTGAGTTTTGGATGTGTAATTGTGTGTTTCACAGCCTTCATTTTTGGTCCTTGGAAAATTGGAAACTGCAAGAGGGAATATGAAGAATTGTATGCAAATCCACATGAACTGAGATTCCAGAGGCTGTAAACCCCCCCCCCCCCCCAAAAAAAAAAAAAAAAAAAAAAAATTCCAAGTGCATCAAGCATAGGTTCTGCCTTCCCAGATTCAGCAAAATCTTCAACAATGTGTTCTCAAATGTTTAATGAGCCCCCATATACGGCATCAGAGCTTGTCCACCACCACAATTTCAGTCACTTCCACACAGAAGAAATCCAGGGTCACACTGACACACACATGCAATTCTAGTAATGAGAAGTTGTTAGCAACTTCCCGTCCATTAGCTATCAGATATCAGTTTTGGAAGAAAGGGGATAAATCCCATAACTTGTGGAGAAGGATAACAAACTAAGTCTTAGTTTCCATTAGACTGCTTTAGTTTATGCAGCAAAAACACACTAAGATGTAAGATTATAGGATTAGATTTCAAAGTCCTTCAAGCAAGTCAGATAGTGTTCAACTTCTGTGGTAACATTTCATAATAACTATTTCCCTCGATCTAGAAATTTTCTTCCTCCATGCTCCATGGCTTTGGCAATTATGGTTTGAAATTCTCAAATAAAAATATGTTCTTAATATATTCTTTTTGGCAATAGGGTCTATATGTTTATGAGTTTATCCTCTCTAATTGGCAATAATATTCTAGTTGCTTGTTGTGAAGCAATAAATCGAACAAGAAGCATGTAACTAAAGTTTAGAGCAATTGCCGTCTGTATACTTAGACTATCGAAGGAATCATCCTTCTCAAAATTAACAATCCAGATTCCAGCCTTTGTTAAAAAAGCACCCTAAGACCTAAAATCAAAGGTACGACCCCTCTCTAATGTGCAAACAATCAATCTTAGTCTCCCACCGTAGTCACTTATGCTAGAAGAAAGGGAGACAGCAGAGGAAATATCCTCCAGAGTTAGTTACGAGAAGGATAATTTAGTAATTTTATGAAAGTTAGTGTTTTAGAGTTAAGAGCAAGTCAGGCAATTGTCATTTATCAGGTAATAAAAAGGGCTAGGCAGCATATTGAGGGGTTTGAATAAAAAAAATGAGAGAGAAATTGTGATTTCGGAGAGCACCGGCCTCTCAAAAGTTAGGATGTATTTGGTGATTCTCATCTTTATTGTTATTAATACAATCATATCTTACTGTTTTCCTTAATTCAATTTGTATTTTCCTTTTTAATCCTTCTAGATCTTATTAATAAACTACTATCTTCAGTTGTAGTGAAGGGTTAAGGATCATCTTGATTCTTAGCATAATATCCTTTAATAGAATTGATACCAGCTTGTTAGATTGATATTTCTCTTCTATGTTCTAAGCAATTGGCTCAATGGAAACATTCTTTTGATAGTAGTGCAGGCAAAGAGCCTTACACCTTCATATTGCCCTGCCAAGGAAACCAAGATTATCAGCCCTTCTAGCAAACTATCTAATTTTCAGCTAGCACGATCGAGCTCTTGAAATGCCTTTGCGATCTAATTATTGATACTCTCTAGATTCAATCGTTAACAGGTCAAATGCCTAATAAATATTTCAACAAATTACTATAAGCTTGCTGAAAATTGTAATAGATGGGTTTATAAGAGACAACAAATGCCACAAAAGGCAAACTTTTGGTTGATAAAGTTACCTCCCCAAAGCAAAAGTTGCTTTCTGATTGTATTATCCGACGAACTACCAATGCACCTATGTCACGTCCCCTTTGTTCTACTGGTTGACCTCGTTCAATTAAGGTAACATCAGCACCAAGTTCTCCAAGCACAAGAGTAGCAAACAAACCCGCAGGACCACTTCCAACAACAGCAACTTTTGGTTTGTGAGATGGAATATTGCAGTGACTATCAGCATCCCCTGCTACTGTACCTTCCAGATCCTTCTTGCAGTCATTTAATAAACTGAATAAATCACCAACAGCTTTTTCTTGGGGAATATGCTCAACAAGTCCAACCTTAGGCTCCATTTCAGAGATGAAGTCCCATAACCGAGGCTCAGAACTTAAGAGCTTCTCGACATTCATGTCAACTGTGTAAACAAACTTAGGTGTCTTCAATAGCTGAAAGAAACATGACGATAACACATGTATAAGTCCAACGACAATCCAGATCACCCAGGGCGACTCACATGATCTTCATTTTCAAGTAATATTTAACTAAACCACGCTCACAAATTAAACATGCACTAATACAGAGCCCTAAAGTGCACAAATTATTGAGATACCATAGCATCATACTGAGAACACATATAAAGAACACAAAACCAGTAGGTAAGAGAGCTCTAGGAACCTTCACGTGTTATAAATCACCAATTCATCATCAAGAGATGCCTAAAATTTTCACAAAAGGAGAAAACAAAAATTAAAAAGGCCTAACATGCACCATCTTTGGAAGTATGACAACATAAAGAAAATATTACCTTCAAAGGAGAAAATTGTCCACCAACAGGACAAACGCATTTTCTGCTATAATAGCATGACTTCTAGACATAGGGTTTAAATGTTGTAACAACACCTATGCAATGAGAGGCAAGATCTTGTTTTACCTTATGGTCCTTCTCTAGAATTTTTTTCTTGCAAAATTTTAGGGTACTACAACTACTACTCCCCCCCCCCCATCCCTTAATGTTTGGCCCATTTTCCTTTTTAGGTCGTTCCTTTAACTTTGCCCCCTACTAGTTTGGCTGTAGGGGACACAACTTTACTCCCACAACCACTACATTTAACCCCACTTTTCTCTCGCATCAACTCCTTTTAACCAAAAAATTTAAAAAAAATTTAACTCTACCCCTTTGGACTTTTGAAGCAAATAAAAGGAGATAGAGGGAGTAATAAACTACCCTAATCTATAGATTGGAATGCTCAAGTAGAACACAAACAAATCATGTGTAATGCCCTTAGGCCCAGCTAGGGGTGACAACAATAACACATAGTTACAACTTACAAGACCACCAATTTGATTAGAAAAAATATTCCTAAGGGGCTAAGGAAGTAAAGAGCTAACACAAATGGCACTTATTTATCTGTGCAGGGGTGGGTATGATTCGCATGAGGACAAGAATGTGCAACTTACAGAATCAAAAGTAACCCATCATTTTAGAATTATCACTTTCAGCCGTTTCAGGCTTATCTGCAAATTAGATCATTCTTGAGCAATCAGTCACTTTATTGAGGAGCTTAATGTTCGGATTCGTGCATCACCAGTTCACTCAATCATAAAACAAAGCAATCTATAAATTCTATATCACAAAAAACTTTGTACTTCATGACCAGGAAAATCATTGAAAAACTCTCTTAACCAAAAGATCACAAAAACTCCATGCTCCTTGCCCCTATAAATACTCTCTAACCAAAAGGAATAAACTGAATGACACACCTCTAATACATTATCTTCTCCTCTATAAACATTGAATGCAAGATAAATATACTATTTAGGAAAAGTATACCTTTCGCGCGTCAAATGATTTTCTAACCACTGTAAATGCTTCTGCTGGAAGCAAAGAGGCAACCTGCAAACAAAGATAGAAGCAGCTAAACTTCAATACACTCAAACACTAATATTCACAAAGTTGAAACAGGATAACTTTTTTGCACCAATTTAGCATCATTAATACACAAATTTCAACACATTATCATAATATTTAATCCTTCAAATCTCAAATCCCACAATTAAGCACCTAAAATAAAATTAAATTTTAAAAATCACAACCCAATATACTTCATTTTTCTCAATTGCATCAAATAAACAAGGGTTCTGCAAAACATAGCTAAAAAATAACTACATTATCCAAAATGGTACTTATTAAGTTATAAATTTACGACAAAATCATGCATTGTTCGGTGTAATTAAATGTTCAATTCACCTTACCGGGAATTCAAGAACTTTGGCAATTTGTTCAAGGAGAGCATGAGAAACACCAAGAAAATCTTTACCAGGGTCTTTATCAACTTCAACACCAAGTTTAGATAATCTCCAAAACCCTTCAAATTTATCCTTAACTTCCATTTTCTGTTTATGAATTTGTTTAAGCTTCTTCTTCTCTGATGGGTAACGGAACTTCCCTGTTCTTTGTGACCTTTTTGCGCATCGAATTTCGAGGCGTTTGGGTGAGTATGAGGTGGGTAAGGAAGATGGATTTGAGAGGAGAGAGAAAAGGTTGGATTTTGGGTTTGGAGTGAGGGAATGCAGGGAGAGAGAGCTCGAGGAAATGGACATGGTTGTTCTTGGGGAAGCTCAGAATTGGTGCTCAAATGTTGCAAATTTGCAATTGTAGAGGGGTTTTGACTTGATAAGGTTCAAGATTTGCAAGTTGCACCCCTCCCCAAAAGAAAAAATGGCTCTAAATTATACGAAGTATCCCGTCAGTATGTCTAATTTTTTTTTTAAAAAAAATAATTAACCAATTCGTATTTTTTATAGAAAATTCTATTAACTATTATTAAAAACAAAACGTTGCTAACATCAATTCCTGCTTTGTTATTTTTCCTTTTTACTTGGATTTACTCCTCCCTTGGAACAAATAAAAAAACATAATAAATTATTGGGGGGGGGGGGGTGGGAACTACCATATTTAACAATTTTTAAATTTAAATATTAGAAACTTCTACATTATAACTGATTAGGGGATTTTGCTCCCACCAATCACCATCTGACAAGTGGACCAATCAAGTTCCGCCATGTGTCCGCCACATGGGCCAATAGGAGCCTGCCACGTGTCAAGCAATGATCCGTCCACCATGGACCAATTACGACACGACGCGTGTCCTTCCCATGACACCTGGGATAACCGGTCACCTAGGCCCAACTTCCGAGGGAAGCCCAATCAGCCCAAGGTTAACCTAAACCTAGATTGACACGTTTCCCGAGGTTATAAATACCTCCCTTAATCCTCATTAAGAGAGATGATAGGCTGATCACGCTAAAAAAGCAGATTACCTACATTAAACACTCTCACCTAGAGAGACCCAATCACTTTAATTTCCGCATTAATTACTCCTTAAACAAGTACTAACTTGATCGTTGGAGGCGGAGCTCCCACCACAAGGAGTCTCCGTTGTTTTGCAGGTACAGGCGTCCGGTTCCAGTCTCGGAATTGTAACTCTCCCGCAGGACATCAGAAAACCCCGAAACATTTGGCGTCGTCTGTGGGGAGAGTACTTCTGAGATGGCATCCAAGTCTGTACCGACTTCTGAAGAGAGGCGTCCCCTAGACGACCCTCAAGTTCAGTCGGACCACGATACTGAGAATGAATTTGAAGTTGAAGCTCACACAGCTTCAGACGGGACCCTAAGGGCCCGACGTACCCGTCATACCGAAAGGAGGGAACGGGAACATCTTCATACAGGAAGCGAGCCAGCAGGCGCACCGCCTGTTCGGCAACAGCCGACTGATGGGTCTGCTCCCATCACAAGGAGTGAACTCATGACCTTCATGAGGGACTTCAAGGGAGAAATTCAAGAGTTGATCAACAAGAAGCCGCCTGCTCTGGACAAGGAGCAGTCGGCTAAGAAACCCTCCACTTCACAGAAGAGGAAGCCAGTTCAAGGGCGAGAGGCGACTCCTCATCCTAAATCTAGGAAGCGGGAGCCACCTGCCCTTGATTTCAAAAAATACCGTTTTCCTACTCCAGGAAATAGGAAACCTGTTCGTCATATTCAGGCGGACGGGTCGAGGAAATCATACACAGACGCTCGGCTACTGCTAGAGCAGAAGAAGAGTGACCGATTGTCAGAGTCGGCCTCTACTTCAAACTTCCAAGACAGTCTGCGAAATACCTCGATGAGGCATACTCAGTCGTATCATGAGAGTCAGTCAGGCGGCACCTCCCGTCAGTCCGGCTTTCATAGCGACCAGGCGGTACCAAACTTACCGTTTGTACCGCAACAACAGTATTTTTTACAGCCACCTCCGTTTGGTGGACAAGCAGCAAAAAATGTCCAACCTATGGACTGGCAACTACGGTTGCTTAGACTTGGTGAACAGCCGTCGGCCTTCTCCAAGGAAATTACTGAAGCCGCTCAGCCGGCCAAAGTGAAAAATGTATTAGTAGGCGCCTATGACGGCACTACTAACCCAGAAGACCATCTGATGGCATTCACCAACCTGATGTACCTTCAAGGGTTGGATTATCCCACTTGGTGCAAGTGTTTCCCAGTGACTCTCAAAGGAATCGCACAACAATGGTTCGGCAACCTGCCGACTGGTTGTGTAAATAACTTCACGACGCTTGCTTACTTATTCACCTCCAACTTCGCCATGAACATCCCTGCGAAGAAGACGACCCTTGATTTAGGAACAATTCAGCAGGGCGAGAAGGAGGGGCTTCGTTCTTACATCAGGCGGTTTAACCTGATGAGAATACAGATTCAAGGGTTACCGGATGAAGTAGCCTATACTGACTTTTTCAGAGGTCTCAAAGACGGGTCGACCTTCAAATTTGATTTGGTCCGAAAGAGGGTGGCGACTCTTCAAGAGGCCTTGATTGAAGCGGAAGCCTATATACAGGCGACTGATCTTTGTGGTACGGTAAAACAGTCAGACGGGAAAAGGTCCGACAAAAGAGAAGGACGACAGAAACAGTCGTCAAACAAAGACAAGAAGAGAAAAGAGGTCTGGGCGGCTGATTCCTCTAAACAGCCGGCCCAGAAAAAGAAAAAAGAATTCAAACCATACTCCCCAAAGTATGCGTTTAACAAGGATAGCCAATTTATCCTAAAGGAAATCAAGGGACGGATCTCAATTGAGAAGCCGGTCCCCATGAAGGGTTCTGCAAACAACCGGAACCAAGAAAAATTCTGTGATTATCATGAAGATGTTGGTCATCACACCAATGAATGCATCAGTCTCATGCGGTATCTGGACCGCCTGGCTGAGCAAGGTGATCTTGACACTTATGTCAAGAAATCTACGGGGAACACTTCCTCAAAAAAGCAGTCGACCAAAAAGAATCAACAGGCCGACAGCTCCGATACAGATGATGCAGTCGTCTACACCATTGCAGGCGGCTTCTCAGGAGGCGGCCCCACTATTAGGGGCAACAAAGACAATATCAGGCGGTTAGATGTAAATTCCGTTCACCAAGAATGGCCCTCCAAATATTCATTTCCTGAGATTTTCATCACTGAAGAAGATCTAGGAGGGGTAAGAGGGCCGCATGACGACCCTATCGTTATTGAATGTAAAGTGGCCAACCAGAGAGTTGGCCGAATCCTCATAGATACCGGAAGCTCCTCAGATCTCATTAGTAGCAAATGTCTGTCGAAACTAAAATATCAGACTGATTGCATACATCCGACATCTCACCCTTAAGTAGGGTTTGGAGGAGGAGGAGTCCACCCAGTGGGACGAGTGGATTTACCCATCGCCTGGGCGAAAAAGGGGAAGGACGACACATGGTAGTCCGGTTCCTGGTAGTAAAAGAACTCTCGGCCTACAACATGATTCTGGGACGACCAACCCTGAATAATTCCAAGGCTGTTATAATCCCATCTCTTATGTTGCTCAAGTTTGAGAGGGATAATGGAACAGTCGGGTCCCTAAGGGGAGATCAGAGGATGGCCCGAGAGTGCTATCTCTCGGATGTCAAGCCCACTGTTATGGCCACTGGGTCGAGTGGTGGAAAAATAGACCTTGACAATGTCAAGGAGAGTGCGCCTGTTCAAGAAGCAGGCGGCAAGAAGAGAAAGGCATCCCAGACGGGGGCCGCAAGAAAAGACAGAAAATAGCAATCATTGGCAGAGGAGCGGTCGGATGAATTCCGCCCTCAGCCGGCTGGTGAGCATACGGACCTGATCCTAGACGACTCGCGTCCTGACCGAACAGTCAAAGTTGGGACGACTGCTCTGAGAGTCCTAGGTGACGACTTTCACAAACTATTGAAAGAATACAAGGACATCTTTGCATTCGAAGTCCATGAAATGCCAGGCATTAGTCCTGATCTGGCGGTACATAAACTGGCCGTGGATCCGAAAAAGAAGCCGGTACGGCATAAGAAGCGGAACCATGGTGAAGAAAGAAGTCAGGCGGCAGCCGCCGAAGTTAAAAAATTACTTGACGCAGGGTTCATTCGGCAATGTTACTTCCCAGACTGGGTTGCAAATGTGGTGCTTGTTAAAAAGCCGAATGGCACCTGGCGAATGTGTGTAGACTACACAGACTTAAACAAGGCGTGCCCCAAAGACAGTTACCCTCTGCCTAAAATTGATAACTTGGTCGACTCAACAGCCGGCCATGCTTTGATGAGCTTTATGGACGCCTACTCTGGTTTCCATCAAATTCCTTTATGGAAGAAAGATCAGGAGAAGACGGCCTTCGTCACTGATCAGGGGTTATACTGTTACACGGTCATGCCGTTTGGTCTTAAGAATGCCCCGGCCACTTTCCAGCGAATGATAAACACTGTGTTCTTTGATCAAATTGGGAGAAATGTCGAGGCATATATTGATGATATGATTGTCAAGTCAAAACTTCAGAAAGATCATCTGTCGGACCTCCAAGAAACTTTCGCCACACTCAGGCGGCACCATGTCATGCTCAATCCCAAGAAATGTGTCTTTGGAGTTGAGTCTGGGAAATTTCTCGGATTCCTTATCAATCAGAGAGGAATAGAGGCGAACCCTGAGAAGGTGCAGGCGGTCATTGACATGCAGTCGCCTCGTACCATCCGAGAGGTTCAGAAGTTAACAGGTTGTCTGGCGGCCTTGGGAAGATTTCTAAGCCGATCAGGCGACAAATGCCTATACTTTTTCCAGGCAATTAAGAAAAAGGCAAGGTTTGAATGGGGGCCGGATGCTGAGGCGGCCTTCCAGAAATTGAAAGTTCACTTGCATTCCTTGCCGAGGCTGGTCAGCCCTTTGCCCAAAGAAGTACTCTACATGTACCTGGCCGTCTCTGATCATGCGTTAAGCGCTGTTCTCCTTGCTGAAAGAGACGGCTGTCAGCTCCCGGTCTACTTTGTCAGTCACGTACTGAAAAATGCCGAGTTGAGGTATCCCTTAGTGGAGAAATTTGGTCTTGCACTCTTCATGGATGTTAAAAAATTGAAGCCCTACTTTTTGGCACATGCAGTTGTCGTGTATACAGACCAACCTATCAAGCGGCCACTGACCATCATGGAGTCGTCAGGCCGAATGATCAAATGGGCCATAGAAATTCAGAGCCTCGAAGTTACTTTCGAGCCTAGAAAAGCAGTGAAGGGGCAAGCCTTTGCTGACTTTATTGTTGAGATGACTCGTCCTCCGGACTCTCATGTTACAGACCAAGTCTGGAAGGTATATGTGGACGGAAGCTCTACTTCAAATGGTTGTGGAGCAGGCATCATATGTCAGTCGCCAGAGGGCGACAGGTACGAGTATGCTCTACGCTTCAGTTTTCAGGCCTCAAACAATGAGGCAGAATATGAAGCTTTACTATCCGGAATCCGCATGTGCAAGGCGGCAGGGGCAAGAAAAATAGACGCCTGTTCCGATTCACAATTGATAGTGAGTCAGTACAATGAC